TGTCTCTGTGTGTGTCTGTCTCTGTGTGTGTCTGTCTCTGTGTGTGTGTGTCTCTGTGTGTGTGTGTCTCTGTGTGTGTCTGTCTGTGTGTGTGTGTGTGTGAGTGTGTGAGTGTGTGTGTGTTTCTGCTGTTACCTTTAGTGCATTAGCTGGAGATGTGCTGAGAATTTTGACTCATTCGATCACTTCTTTTGTTCCTGCCTTAAAATGGTTCAGATCTTCGTCCCTTTCTCCTCGGTGACTTTGAGCTCTCATTGTAACTGTAAAAAAAGCAAAGAACTGCAGATGCTCTGTTTCGGGCCTGCTGCAGTGCTCCAATGAAGCTCAGCAACAAGCTGAAAAACCTTGTTTTCCGCTTAGGAGCCTGCAGCGTTCTGGACTCAATATCGAGTTCAATCATTTAAGGGCCTGAGGCACCTTCTCCATGTCCTGACCCTAATCCCCGCATACCAGGCCTTGTCATTCACACAGGCTGCTAACACACACACACAACCCATTATCGGTCCCCATTAGCAGCTATCCATTCTCCCAGGCTGAGCTTTCCCCAGTCCTTTGTGTGCCCAGCTATTGTTGTCTCTCTCTGTCTTTGGGCTCCATTGTCACCTATTGTTTACTCTTTTCCCATTACCTCCATCCCTTCTTTAGCATATTCACCAACCTTTTCCCCAGCTACCATCAGTTCTGCTTCCTCTCCACAGATGCTGCCATACCTGCTCAGTGTTGGTTTTGTTCCTCGTGTAACTGTGCTGGGATCTGCCTCCCGGTTCATACCAGGCTGGGGGACAAGGTGAGAGTGAGGGCACCGGGAAGAACTGAGATGGGAATATTCAGTGGACAAGTGTCTTTGAACTTCAATACAGCATTAGTCCTGTCATTCCCAGACATTCCTTCCCCGAACTGTAGTGTTCGGGGAAGAACTGGGGAAAACGTTGTTCCTGAGCTAAGAGCAACCACTCTCCCATTCCTTCTCATTCCCTTCATTTCTCCATCCTCTTATCCTTCATCTTTTTGCCTCACCAAAGCCCTCTTGACAGCACCTTCCAAACCTGTGAACTCTAACAAACTCTGGAGATCACTGCGTGTCAGGCACATCCATGGAGAGTGAGCGAGCTAACGTTTGGTGTCAAGACAACTCTTCTTCAGAGATGGTAGGAACCGCCGATGCTGGAGAATCTGAGATAACAAGGGGTAGAGCTGGATGAACACAGCAGGCCAAGCAGCATCAGAGGAGCAGAAAAGCCATTTCTGAAGAAGGGTCCAGACCTGAAACGTCAGCTTTCCTGCTCCTCTGATGCTGCCTGGCTTGCTGTGTTCATCCAGCTCTACACCCTGTTATCTCTCTTCTTCAGAGCTGATATGACGCTTAGAGGGGGCAGCATTGATACAATGGTAGGGATGGGGAATTCTGAAGGTGAAAGGATGTTGATAGTGCAGATTAAGTGATCACTCCATGGAAACCTGCCAGACCCTGACAAAGACTCCAGTCCCAGGTAAGGATGTCAAGAGTCCTACAGGACAGGAGGAGCCCCTCAGCCCATCGTGCCTGTACTGACCCTTTTGGAAAAGCTCTCCATTCGGTCCCACTCTCACCGCTGTCCTCAGTACCCCATAACCCTGGAATTTTTCTCCCACCTGGAAGGACGATAGAAGACACCACCAGCTCTCCCACCCCCCCACTCTCATCCTACACCATGCTGAGTTGGAACAATATCACCCGTTATTCCTTCAATGTGGCTGAGTCAAAATCCTGAAACTCCCTTCCCAATGTGGGCGCTGCTGTGCCCTGATGGAGTAGCTCACCACCATTTGTTTCTCAAGGGGCAATTAGGTATGGGCAATAAGTGCTGCAGCGAGGCCTCTCACACGGCCCAAGATGCTCCATGACAGGTGTGGGGGGAGGTTGCTCCCTGATGGTTCTCCCTTCCCATCTCGGTTTGAGCAGCAGGACAATAGAGCTCCGTGACCAACAGGAGTGGGATCCACGCGTGGGGGCTAACCTTGTTATGTGACTCAGCCTAGGGCTGGATTGGCCAAACCTGGAGTTGAGACTGAAACAGTGACCCTGTAAGCTTTCCCTAAGCATTTAAAAACAAGGCTGGGATACAAACCAACCAATCCGGTGCCAACAAAGGCTCAGCAGGCCCAGTGAAGAAGGCTGTGTGTGTGTGTGTGTGTGTGTGTGTGTGTGTGTGTGTGTGTGTGTGTGTG